AGCCCAGGCCGGGCAGGCCCACGCGGCGCACCGGGGCCCTGCGGGTGAGCCCCAGCGCCAGGGCCTTTGTGGGGTGTGCTGACTGGCCGAGGGGGGCCCCAGGCCCCGGAAGGCCTATTGGGGCATCTGATCTGATACCCGGACAAGGGCAGACCCGGCGCCCACTGAGTGACGCCGGTCGCCAGAAGCTGAGGAAGGCCTTTGCGAGCGACTGTCGGCTCCTGTTCCCCGTCAGGGGGACACTGTCCCTTTCTCGCACCAAGACAGGACCAGTCTGAGTGTGTCTGCAGCGCACAGGGTTCGCTGTCCGTGGTTTACCGAGAGCACAATTCCTCCCTCTGTGGGCACCTTACTCCACAAAGGCTGCGCCAGGCCAGCCGGCTGGGGGCCAGTCCGGGGCCAGCCTGCAGGCCGATTCCCGGTGTCCCCAGCGGACACAGGGGTGTGCGTGTGACACGGGGTGGCACGGGGAGGGGCGTGTGCTGGGAGCTTGCGGGGGGCAGGCCGGGCTCCCAGGCATTGCACACACCTGCTCCGGGGACCAAGCGCTCCCGGCCCCACACGGGACGTCCTTGGCCACTTGTGAGGGGGATCCCCGAGGCCCAGGGCCCCGCACCTCCACGCCACCGGGCGAGCAGGTCTCCGCCCAGGCAGGGTCAGAGGTCAGACTCTCACAGGGAGGGTCTTTATTTTGCTTTTAGTTACTCACCTAAATGTACCCGTACAAGTTCTGTCTGCCCCTATTTCCTAGAGTCATCCCACATCCTCGGATATTCGTTTTTTAAAAAATATATTTTGTTGATTTTTTACAGAGAGGAAGGGAGAGGGATAGAGAGTTAGAAACATCGATGAGAGAGAAACATCGATCAGCTGCCTCCTGCACACTCCCTACTAGGGATGTGCCCACACCAAGGCACATGCCCTTGACCGGAATCAAACCTGGGACCCTTCAGTCCACAGGCCGACGCTCTATCCACTGAGCCACACCGGTTAGGGCTCGGATATTCTTGTGAAATGACCAGCTCTAACCTATATCCCCAAGAGAAAGGACCTCAGACCACAACCACCAGCACTCAGTTCTGGCGCTGAGGCAGAATTAGACGCCTAGGGCAGGCAGCCGGACACCCCGCCGGGTTCCTGTCCCTGAAACCCGTGCGCCCTCTGCTGGGCGTACGCGCTGCAGCCGAGAAGGAGGAGGGGTGTGCCCGGGACCCTGGACAGGTCACTGACCCTTCGAAGGCTGGGGTCGGGGACCACGTATGGCCACTCCCAAGGATGCCCCTGCTGGGCCTCCCCCTCCCCTGCCCTGGAGTCCACGCCACGCCGCCCCCACCACCTGGATCAGTGTGGACACGTGTGGATGCTGAGCGCCAGGCCGCTGATGGGCCGTGTCTGGGGGAGGCAGGCCCATCACAGCTCGGCGCTGCCCAGCTGAGGGTCCCTCCATCCCCAGCTGCCTTGGTCTGGCCTGGGCCTGAGGGCAAGTTCACTGTTCAGTACTCGGCTCTCTTACACCTCCCGGTGCTGGGATGGCCCTCATGACGGGGCTCTGAGTGTGGAGGTGAGGCGTGTGTCCCCGCTGAGTTACATGGCCCCACGGAGTGTGGAGGGTACGGGACAGTGCTGAGGGTTCCGTGAAACCACAGGCACGAGCGGCCCCAGGGCCGTGGGCTTGGCATGAATCTAACCCCTGAGGCCAGACCGTGGGGAAGAGCGCCTAGACCAGGGGTGGGCAAACTTTTTGACTCGAGGGCCACAGTGGATTCTTAAACTGGACCGGAGGCCGGAACAAAAGCATGGATGGAGTGTCTGTGTGAACTAATATAAATTCAAAGTAAACATCATTACATAAAAGGGTACGGTCTTCTTTTTTTTTTTTTTTTAGTTTTATTCATTTCCAACGGGCCGGATCCGGCCCGCGGGCCGTAGTTTGCCCACGGCTGGA